TTTCGATGCATTTGCCATGAAAGGCGTGGCGTTCCCACCAAAAATCAGGGGGCGTCCTGGAGTCTCAGGGTCGGGTTTCTCGTGGAAGGTGTCTTGCGGTCGGGCCCCTACTGTAGTGTGGCCAGCTTTGACCGCCATGGGGCTCTCCTGGGCCGACGTCCTGGAGCCCCAGGCCGTCTTGGGTCCACTCGGAGGCCCTCTTGAGCCAGCTTGGGGCTCTTTGGGAGCCGTGTTGCGGACAGATTGAAAGGTTACAGTCGGACTCAGGTATAAGATCGAGGTCGGTTGGGGGAGGGTACCCCAGTGTTCTTCGTGCTTGTTGGATGTTTTGGTGCATCCTGGGGAGGGTACCCTTAGATGTTCTGCGCTTTGGCCGATGGAGGATTTCATGATCTTGAGGGATGTTCTTCTGGCCTATGTCCGACTGGGCAATCGGGGGGCCCTCTTTGGGGCCTTTAGGGCCATCTTGAACTGCAGGAATCCCAGAAAGATGAAGACGCCGAAATCCTCCAGCAGCTCATCAGAGGTCGAGGCTTGGGACCTCTGCGGGCCCTGCGCTGGGATTTTTTTTTTGCGATTCTCTGGGACCGTCTCGGGGGCCTCTTGGGCCGTACTGAGGCCATCCTGGGGCCATCTTGGGGCCGCCTTGGGCCGTCGCGAAGGCATTCCGAGGCCGTCTTGGCGGCCCCGGTGGCCTGCCTCGGCCTCCGTGGAAGCTTCGGGGCGCGCGGACCCGCCATGTTCGCGTGCGGGCGCGGCCTCGGGAGCGCGGGCCCGTTCCTCGTGCGAGGGATCGCGGCTTCGCGCCACGGGTCTGTGCCAGGAGGCAGGGATAGGAGGGCGCCAACTATACACCAGCACCGATCCTGGCCCAGGATCACCCTGGGCCCAGGATCGGTGCATACACCCTCCTGCCTTGCGCAAGAAGGCACATACACCGATCCTGGGCCCAGGGTGATCCTGGGCCAGGATCGGTGTTGGTGTATAGTCGGTGCCCTCCGAAGGGAGCCTCGGCCCGGGCAGCAGCGAGGGCGGGCGCCGGCGCGCTCGCCCTCACGGCGGCGGAGTGCGAGCGCTCGGGCCGATCGGAGGCCGGCGGGCCCCGCGCCGGGCGGGGGGGGGGGGGCTCACTGGGCAGGAGAGGGAGGGGAGGCAAGGGCTCCCGCGAGGGCGCGAAGTTGTTCGCGCTTCGCGGTCGTCGTTCCTTCTCCCCCTCCCCCCTCGTCCTCCTCCTTATTCTTCCTTGGGGGAGGCGGGTCGCGAGAGCGCGAAAGTTATCCGCGCTTCGCAGAGCGCGAGAGCGCGAAGCGGGGAGGGAGCCCCAGGGAGGGCGGCCGCGGAGGAGGAGGAGGAGCGCGGGGGGGAGGCCTCGGGCGCAGAGGGCCCACGCCACGAGGAGTGCGCGGGGGTGGCCTCCGTCGGGCGGGCGGTGACGGGGGGCGGCCCAAATTGGGGGGGCGAGGAGAAGGGCCTCAGAGGGGCGCTTTCGGCCCCCTTGTGGGGCCAGCAGGGGCCCAGGAGGGGCCCCAGAGTGCCCCTGTTAGTGGGGCCCGTGTCTCCACCCCCCGTGCCTCGGCATCGCTCGGACGTGTGCATTTTTTCTCGGCGAGAAGCATCGAGGACCATCCTGGACCATCGAGCAAAAAAAACGCGCGAAACCGAAACATGCTCAGGAAATGGACGTCCGAGCGACGGCAAGATGCGGGCCACCCCGCGCTACCTGCCGCCCGCCCGACGCACCACCGAGGAGTGCGCGGGCGGCCTCGGGCACCGAGAGAGCTCGTCTGCTCCGAAAGGTGTGCGGGCAGTCCTGGCGGCCGCAGGCGTAGGCGGCTGGAAGCACAGACGGCTGCTTGGCATCGCTCGGACGTGTGCATTTTTTCTCGGCGAGAAGCATCGAGGACCATCCTTGCTCATTTGGCGAAAAAACCACGCACGAAACCGAAGAAAGCACACGGAATGGACGTCCGAGCGATGGCCATGCTGGACTCGCTCGCGGAGCATCTGGAGGCCGTCTATTCAGCACGCCCGAAGTGCAGTGGCCAGCGGCAAGCCTCGATCGGAACCGACGGCGGTCCCTGTGGGGCAGGCGACGTCCTGTCTCAAGCGGACACCATCGGCGGCGACGCCGACGGCGAGCCCTGCTCGAAGAGGGCGGAACACTGCTGCGGCGGCCGTCCCGACTTGCTGGGTGCGCGCACGGGTGGCCACGGCGCCAGGCCCTGCGAGGAGGAGGAGGGAGGAGGGGGGTTCAGGCGATCGCAAACATGGATCAAGGGGGCGTGGGTTGGCGACGGGTCCCGCTTCCATGGGAGATCGCGGATTTCCGACGCCGAGCGAGGCGGCACCTTGGCCGCATTGGTGGGGAGGGCACCTCTCCCCCGATCCATAGGCTCGGCGACCGCGCGCCAACTCCAAGGAACGCTAATCCATGTCTGTGCGCCCCCGAGAGGGGGGGTGGCGGATGGGCCACGTAAGGGGCCGTATTAGCAGCGCGCACGTATTGTACACGCGGTGAGTCCAGAAAAAAAGTCCTTGGGATGGGAGGGGACTCTGGCCGAGAGAGGCCCGCGTCGTGCGAGAGAGGCCACGGCGGCGTCGCCCCAAAAACACGGGCGCGGCCCGCGCCGTCACGGCGGGGGAGCCCCCGCCGCCAAGTGCTGGAGGGAGGGGGGGCACGCGGCGGGGGTGGCCGGCGGTGTTGCTCGCAGGGCGGTGGGTTGAGGGGGTGGGGGGGCTCGCCCGTGAGGGCAGCGGGTCCTGGGTTCGATCGGCGGCGAGCGAGGGGTGGGGAAGTGGGAAGGAGAGGGCTTTCTCGGAAGGCGGCGGGGCTCCTCAGAAGCCCTCGCGCCTTCTGATGCGTTGTCTGTGTCTTCGGGAAGGCTCGGAAAACTCAGGAGGCCAGGGGACCTCCGAGCCTTCTGAGAAAGCCCGCCCCTTCTCTTTCCCGCCCCCCGGGGCTCGCCGCCGGTTCGAGGAAGGAAGAACATCGTGAAGGGAGGAGGAGGAGGCGGAGGCGGAGGCGGAGGCGGAGGAGGAGGAGGAGGCCCAGGAGGAGGAGGAGGAGACGTCTCACGAGGCCATGGGACTTCCGAGCCTGCTGAGAGGGCCTTCTCCGTCTCGCTTCCCCCCCGCGCTCGCCGCCGACTTTGGGCGAGGCCATCCACGATCGAGCCCAGCAGTGGTGGAGGGCGAAGGGCACGCCACCAGGAAGCCTTCCAGATGCGCCACAGGTGCACCCCAGGGCTGGACCTGAACGTTGTTCTGCTGGATTTCGGCTGTGCTTTTTGTTGTCGCTTTTGGCAGGGAGGTGCAGGAAAACTGGTAGGGCAAAATGGAACACAAAACTAGAGCAAACCGAAAAATAGCATGTAGGTTCAGCCCTGGTGCACCCAGTCAAGTGTGTGTGTGTTTGTTTGTGCGTGTGCGTGTGCGTGTGCTTGTGTGCGTCCGCGTGTGCGTGTTCGTGAGTGTGTGTGTGTGTTGTGCGTTGTGTGATGTGTTATGTGTTGTGTGTGTTGTGTGTTGTGTGTTGTGTGAATATTGTGTGTGTTGTTTGTGGTGTGTGTGTCGTTTGTGTTTGTGTGTTGTGTGTGTTGTGTGTGTGTGCTGTGTGTTGTGTGTGGTGCGTGTGTTGTGTGTTGTGTGGGTTGTGTGTGTGTTGTGTCTTGTGTGTTCTGTGTGTGCGTGTTCCAGCTCCCTGGCAAACACGGACATCGCCCTCGACGCTTAGATTGCGAGACCTTCCCAGCCTCGACGACCGTCGGCTTCGAGAGCCAGCGATCGTCACGACCACTGTCGGTCGCGCGTCCCGGAGGAGTTCTCCGACGAGCTCCTCAGAGGGGAGTCCATGCTGGTTCGCGAACGCGTGATGAACCACGACGTGGTGACCCGCGTTGTGAACCTCGCCGTCGTCGTGCTCGAAAGGAGGGCAACCCTTTTGGGCGATTGCAGGAGAGTGAGAGCAGAAGCAGAGAGGCGGGAAGAGTGATAGAGAGAGAGGGGGGGGAAGAAAAGGTGAGGAAGGCGGGAGCAGGGAAGAGGAGATGGGGGGGGGGCAAGGAGAAGGGGGGGATGGAGAGGGTGAAGAGGGGGAGAGGGGGGGAGAGAGGCTGGAGAATCGAGGAGGTAGCAGGAGCACACCGAGGGACATCTATAATCCCTAGTCCACCCCCTCTTCCGTCTCTAACTCCATTTTTGTCCTCCGGCTGCTATCTACCTCGTCGTCCGTCTCATTATTCTTCACGTTTCGCACATCCCCACCAGCCTATTCAGAAAACCTGCCCATGATGACGGGGACAGGGACGAAGAGACACAGATAGTGGAACAAAGCGGGCAGCCAGGTTGAACTGAGAGATCTCTTGGAGTAAGGGAGTGGCCTTGGAGGGCCTCTTCGGGCTATCCCTGAGGCTCGCGTGGGGGCGAGGGAAGGAGGAGGAGGAGGAGGAGGAGGAGGAGGACGACGACTACGACGACACGACGACAATGACGACGACGACGACGACCACGACGACGAGGAAGAGGAGGAAGAGGAAAGGGAAGACGACGAAGGCAAGGATGAGAACGAGGATGAAGAGGGGAGGAGGAGGAGGAGGAGGAGGAGGAGGAGGAGGAGGAGGAGGAGGAGGAGGAGAAGGACAACAAGGACGAGGACAGAGCCATCAAAATCGCCTCTCGGAGCCCTCTTGAGACTCTCTGTGGGGGATCTTAGGGCCCTCTTGGAGCATTTGGAGGACCCTCTTGGGGCCCTCCTTGGAGTCCCTTGGGAGCCCTGGAGTGCCTCCCAGGTTCATCTTGGAGGCCATCGATCAAAAGGGGGGCGGTGTCCCAAAGTCGCCCGGGGCCATCAAAATAGCTTCTTGGGGGCGCTCTTGGGCTGATCTTGGACACTCTTGGGGCCGTTCGGGGGGCCTCTTGGGTCCCTCTTGGGGCTCTGTTGGGCCATCTTGGGACATTCTCGAGGCCTCGAAAGCGCATCGGAAGCGAAAAGGCAGGAAGGATCAACTCATTGGTTTTCCTTACGCAGGTGTTTGAAGTGACTTCTCGGAGCGTCCTGAGGGGGCTCCGAGAGCACTTGGAACCGTCTTGGGGTCCTCGTCGGGCCTCTTGGAGCTACGTTGGAAGCTGTATTGAACCATCTTCGGCTATCCTGAGCCGCCTTGGAGGCCATCGAGGAGCATCGGAAGCGCTCTTCGAGCCACCTTGGGCGAAAGAGGACCCCCTGCCGCCTCGCGAACCCCCCCAAGAAACCTCCAGAAGTGGGGAGGAGGAGGGTAATACCCCCTCCCCGAAGGGAAGAGGGTTTTTAGAAGAGGAAACAAGTAGCTCGTTAGACCACCTGAGCCCGAAGGGCTGGTGAGATCGGAGGTTGGGGGGTTGGAACGGAAGTGACCCCAACTGGGAAATCGGTTTCGGTTTCGGTTCGTGTCGCGCGTGCGTGCGAGGCGAAGTTGAGCGAGTTCCATCCATATTAGAGGCCATCTATTTCCAAAAGGGCCGCCTCCCGAACGCCGGGCGTGGCCCCCGGTTGTCCCGGCGGTTGTCCCATCGGTTGTCCCGAAGGTTGCGGTTGTCCCGATGGTTGTCCCGATGGTTGCCCCGATGGTTGTCCACATGGTTGTCCACATGGTTGTCCCTATGGTTGTCCCGATGGTTGATAGATATACAGATGTTGATAGATGTTGTCCCGATGGTTGCCCCGATGGTTGATGCATAGATGGATATATCGATAGAGAAATATACATAGAGAGATAGAGAGATAGACGCATAATATATATATATATATATATATATAGATATGCATCGATACCTGACATATATAGATATATAAATATATAGTATACAGAAATAGTTATACAGAGAGAGAGAGAGAGCTAGAGTGAAACATACATGCATAGATACGCAAACATGTAGCTGGATGTATTGATTTATTGCTTGACAGCTAGACTGATATACTGATACATTGATAGAGATAGCTGGTTGTCAAAAAAAAGCTAGATACATAGGTCGATAGATAGAGGGGCACATGTGAGCGACAATAAAGAAGTTGAAGAAACCACCAAAGAACCCAGAGTCATCGCAAATTGACCGCCTCCCCCTTCCCCCCCCAACCTCCTTATCACCCGTAGGGTGGTCCGATCGGTAATATCACTATTCTTCCTCCTCCTCGCCCCTCCTCCTCCTCCTCCTCATCATCATCATCATCATCTTCCTCCTCCTCATCATCCTCCTCATCCTCCTTCTTGACGGTGTACAGACATGGATCAGAGATCGTTGCTTTCACCTCCTCCCTCCTCCTCTCACTCCTCCTCCTCCTCCTCCTCATATCGTTCGGTGCTCTGCCCCGTCCCAACCCCGAACTCGGCGCGTCGTTCTATTGGCTCGCGACTCCTCCTCCTCCTCCTCCTCCTCCTCCTCCTCCTCCTCCTCCTCCCCCTCCTCCTCCTCCTCCTCCTCCTCCTCCTCCTCCCCCTCCTCCTCCGCCTCCTCCTCCTCCGCCTATCTCCCCTCCGCCTCCTCTTCTTCCTCCTCTTCCTCCTCCTCCTCCTCCTCCTCTCCTGTTCTGCATCCTTTTCCTCTTTATGTCTCTCCTCTGGGCCCTCCTCATGTCCGTCTGCCGGTCCCCCCGGTCTGGCCTTTCGGTCGGTTCGGTCCTTGCCGCTTTGCCCGTGGCCCCGTGTGGACCGACAGCGCACACTCCAAGGACGGGAGTCGCGAGCGGTGCCCCGATGCTCACAGCTTGGCCAGCTTGCTCGCCAGTGAGCTGCGCGCTCCGCCCATCCCCCTCCGGCTCACGCTCTGATCACGGCAGTGCCGGCCTGGACTCCAACAAGCCGCATGCTGCCCCCACGGGGCCGTGAGCGGGATTCGTCCCCTGCTGGCCGACGGCGCCTGTCGATGTCAGTAAACCATCACGCTCTTGCGTCACATGCCAACCGCCACATCAGTGCACCAAGGGTCGCCCGGCGTCGTCCGTGCCATGGTGTTCCGTCAGGCTTCCATGTCACTCACGTGGCGTCGCCGTGCATCCCGTCCACTCCGTGCACCCAGGGTCGCCCAGTTTCGTCCGTGCCATGGTGTTCCGTCAGGCCTCCATGTCACTCGTGTGGCGCTGCTGTGCCTCCTAAACCTTCAGGGGAGCATACCCTGCCCACGCCACGGTCCTGTCAGGTTCCATGTGGTTTTGGGCAGGTCATGCCCCCGCCCCCCAATACACCCGGGGCCCCGTGCTCGTTCCTGGGTGCAGGTTCTGCCAGGCTCCGCAGCACAGGGATGGGCCACGGTGCCCACCATTTTCTGCAGGCAGGGCAGAGATCGGTGGCGGGCGAAAAGAGGACCCGCGGAAGCCATGGATGGCGCGCTCACCCGGCGCAGGGCGGTGGTGAGCAGGCGGACGGCCGTGGAAGTGACGCACCTGGCCCATGCTTCCGCTCCCCCTCCGCCGGTCATGGTGGATGGCGGTGATAAGCCGGCGGCTGTGCGCGGCGGTTGTTGTTTTCCGTTGGCGCCCTCTCCTGGCAGTCGGCGGCGGCAGACTCGTGGAAAGCTGTGGCAGTAAGGCACCTCGTCGTTTTGCGCTCTCTCCGGGTGTCTCTCCTCCCCCAGGCTCGAGGCCCCGTCCTCCCCTCGCCTTTTTCCCGCCTCGTCCCCCTCGCCGTCTTGCCTCAGCCCGCCGTCCCTTCCTCACCCTCTCCCCCTGGGATGGGTCTGCCGAGTCCACCCCTGAGGCCCTGCTGGGCCCCAGCGCAAGACGCCCGAGGCATGTTCCAGGAAACCCTCCCCGGAACATGCCCCGAGGCAAGGCTAGAGGCTAGAGGAGTCCGCCGGACCCGAAACGATAGCGGATGAGGCGGCACGCCGGTTTTTCCCAGTGCGTCGGAGGAGTGCTTCGGCCATGCATCGTGTCACGTTTTGGAAGTCTGAACTTCTTGGACGACACATGCATTGTTCGGGGGCGAATCCGCGGTGATGGAATGGGAGACGGAGATGTCAGACGGTTAGCTCTTGAACGCGTGCCCCTTCCCCCTCGGTTCGGAGCGAAATTGTTTTGTTCCTTCCTCTCAGGGTTCCCCTCATCAGGATTTTTTTTCGAGGACGGCGTCGACATTCGCCAACGTGGACACGCGAATCCCACGGTTCCGTCAGGCTCCATGGCAATCGCGTGCCCACTGGGCGCCCCAGAGGTACCCAAGCCACCCATGGTCCCGACACGCTCCGTGAGCGCGCGAAGTGCCAACGGGGCCCCACCAACGCGGGATCATTCCTAGTGCCCGCGCGGTGGTTCCGTTTAGGTTCCATGTCGTCCATGCGGCCGAATGGGTCCCCACCACCTTTCACCTTCTGCTGGTCAGGTTTCGCACGGGGCCGAGGACTCTTTCATGGACCTTCGACCAACGAGTACGTCCAAAAACGAGGGCTCAAACGTACTTCCAATGTCTGTGCCCGAGACACCAGTTAACCAATTACTCATTTCCCCCTCCCCTCCCCCAGGAGGTCGTTTTCTTATTCATTGAACCCGAAAGCCCGTCACGGGGGGTCTCCCCCCCCCGTAACAGTAATGAGCGACAGGGGAGAGTGTCGGGGTACCGAGTCCCGGCCCCCCAGTTATGGCGCCCTGCTCACCTCACGGGCGTAGCCGTTCTGGCTCTGGCATTTGGCCCTGAGTTTGCAAACGCGCACTTCAAAGCGGCTCGTACTTGCGAGCCAACTGGCACGGAGACGAGCTCGGCTGGCCCATGGCATCGCGCCGTGATGCGCCTGGGGTCCGAGCCTCAACGACAGTACAGTGGGAATGCACGGGCACGTGCGGAGGTTGCCCGGACTACATCATCCGGGCGGAGTGCAGAGCGTGTGGGGCCAAGGCGCCGCCCAGCATTCTGGCCGCCCTCAAGTCCTGCCAGCCCCTCAGCCTCGGAGTTGCGCCGTGG